GGTTGGACTGGCACAGCATGTGGTGCTGGGGACTGAATCCCAGTCTCTACACTTGCCTAAGCAGGCGCTTAGTCTGCTGAACTATCTCTCTGGCTTAAAGTTCCAGGTTTGATCTCAGTTTAAAACAAAAACCCCAGATATATATTATATCCCACTATATAAATTACATGCACACACATAGACCATGTCTATGCACCAAGCCCCAAGATCTAGTTCTAACCAGGGCCAGTTGATGACTTAAGTCTACTTCAACAGAGTGAACCTGGAGATTTATAGGTCATTTGGGTAAGCAGCATGTTCTTTTCTGAAACAGACAGACTCTGTTTCATGCTTGCAAACACCAGGTCCATGGTAGCTTTTCATCCCTTTAATTTGAAAGAAATGGAGGTTCAAGTGGAGGCGTTTCCAAGTAGAATTCATCAGTGCCCTGGAGAGAGGACCAGCTGCTGGCCGCCACCGCCATCATCTTGGGGTCAGTGGACCCGCCCCTGTGCCTGCGCATAAGATGGTCTGTGTGTGGGCGTGCACGCTTGTGTGCATGTTGTTGGGCTCAGCATGGAAGGAAAAGACTGACTGATCCATTTAAGGTTTGTTGAGCACTTGCTGTGTGTTCAGGGCTGTCCTGCAGGGCACTGCTGAGAAGGTCCCTGCTGTCACGGGGCTGACCATAAGGTCATAGACATACAAATCTATGTGTCTGGCTTGGTAATAAGGGCTTTAGGGAAGAATAAAGAAGACCTGGGGGGATTTAAAATAGTGATTTAAGTTTTATTCACAGATACTGAGGTCAGGAGATAAGACAACTGAGCACAGGCAGAGAGCTGGATACTCATGGTGCCCGGGAGGTGGGCATGTGCCTGACCCCAGAGCTCGGCTGTACAGGGGGCCCCTGGGGTCCGTTAGGAGTGAGGGGCCCAGCATCCAGGTCAGGAGCCTTGACTGTGGTTTCCTTGGGGAGGCACAGGAGATTCGGTGCGAGCTGGCCGAGGACGGGCTGATCTGAACAATCAGTCCAGCAGCTCTGGGCCATAGGGGGCTCCCAGGCAGGGTGCCCGGCCTCGGGATGGTGGGGGCAGTGGGCAGTGTGCGGGAGTGTGAGGGCCCATACAGGTCGGTGTGGGTCTGCGTGTGACAAGCATACTCCAGGGGAGTCATTCTAGCCTTAAACCGATAGTTGATATCCTGGGGGCATGTGAGGAATGCAGTCTCTTCTACTGAGCCCAAAGAGTCAGAGGAGGCCTTTATGTTTGGGTGACATCTAAGCAGTATGAGGAGCAGGAAATGTGGGGAGAATCTTGTGGGATGGACAGTAGCAAGTGCAAAGGGCCTGAGGTCTGTTCAGAGACCAGCCTGTGTACCTTTTGAGAAGGAGACAGAGAGGGGATGTAGGAGACCAGACCAGCAGGGTGAGGCAGGGAGGAAAGTCACTGGCAGTGGTGGTGTGGGCGGCTGGGGCTCTGAGCAGAGATGAGCCCGGTCTGACTCAGGTTCTGACAGGAGTGTGCAGGATGGGCAGGGAGAGGGAGGGAAGCAGGAGGCCAGGGAAGAGGACAGGCTGCAGACTAGAAGGGGCAGGACGAGAGACAGAGGCAAGAGAAGAAAACAGGTGACGCCATGTAGTGGATGGTCGTGGGAGCAAAATAACGCCTGCATCCCACGTCGTGGTTTAGATCTAAACTCTCCTTCCGAAGTCTTGCATGTTACAGTGGGGGATTTGGAAGCGGACTGGATCATGATGAGTTCTTGGCTGAAGGGGCCAGAGGAGGTGGGCCTGGGTGCAGGTCGGTCACGGGGGTTAGGGTTAGGGTTAGGGTGGCCTTCCACCTGACGCCTCCCTCCTGTCTCTGTGTCCTGGTCTCTGTGAAGAGAGCAGCTTCCCTCAGGAGCCTTCTACCATGTTGTTCTTCCTTGGAGCCAACTCACCACGGGCTGATCCCACTGGGAAGCATGGGCCGAATAAACCCGGCCTCCTTAAGCTGCAGGTGTCAGCTGTGCTGCAGGTGTCAGCTGTGCTGCAGGTGTCAGCTGTGCTGCAGGTGTCAGCTGTGCTGCAGGTGTCAGCTGTTCTGTGCCGGCAGAGGGAAGGCTGACGGAAGTATCACCTGTGTGGCAATACTTCATTCCCTTGTGTCTTTGTTGCAAATAATCCGCAGCTGTAGGGCAGGGACTGGGACTACTGCAGTTCTACTTTGGTGGATTGGTTCCCAGCTGCTATGGCAGGGACTGGATCAGCTCATGGACTCTGGAAAGCCACATCTGAGTTTTCCACCTGCAGGAATTCCCATAGGGGAGGTTTCTCGGCCAGGGGCTCCTTCCAGGACTGGTGGGATGTCGTGATGCTCAACCACCGGGCCCTTGCACTAAAGGCTGTTCTCCACCCTACTCTAGCCCCAGAAACCCTTTTCCAGGTCATCCTTGTGCTCACGAACTTTAGAAGTGATTTTTTTTTTCTTTTTTTTAAAGTTGAGTGTGTTAGCCTAAGGCTTTGGGTCACATCCCTAGTACTGAAAAAAACATTTCTCTCCAATTCACCTGTTTCCACTATCACTGTGTGGCCCCCACAGGGACAGGGGGCTGGCCCACATATTTCCCACCAGGCTCCCCTCTAGGGGAAGCAGAGCACAGTGCCCCAGCAGCCCCAGGGGTAGGCACTAAAAGCCCTGACCTGTGCTTCCTGGAGAACCACCCTTGGCGGGGCAGCACTGCCTGGCCAGGATCCGCCAGGCAGCCGGGTCAGGATGCCAGGAGGCAGGTGAGGCCAAGCCACACAGGACAAAGATACATCCTGCTTGTCTGCTTCTCCCTCACTGCTTTTATTTTATGTTCAGATATTTTCTTCATTGTGGCGGCATTGTTTGAAATTTTAAAAATAATGCACTCAAATATTTATCTTGACAGCTGAGTTTTCTGGCTCGCCCTTCATTTTGTACTGGGGCAAGTGCCTTGCTTACGTCACCCTTGTCCTGGGCTGTGCTGATCCGGCTAAGTCCATGATGGGGCATGTCCTTGTGACCTTGGAACAGCTCTCATTTGGAAGTTCTGTGCTGTTCCCACTAGAGCTGGCCTTCAACACGCAGCATCATGGAGCTACGTGCCTGTGTCGGTGTCAAAACCGAGCCCTCATCAGTGTGAACGCAGCAGCTCTTGTTTGGATCTTGTTTGCCTGTCTGGGCTTTGTGTGTCAGCTTTCACAAGACACATGGTTCCCCTGTTAAAAGGGCAGAAAAGCCCTGCCCATCTAAAAGCTGATCGTGGTTCTAGAAGCAGTTTCTCAGGGGTCCTGAGTGTTCCTATTTCTTTTTTCTTTTCATTGTTGCTGTACTGGGGATTGCAAAACCCAGGACTGTGGACATGCTAGGTATGCGCTCTACACTGAGCTACCTCCCTAGAGCTTTGAAAACCTTATTTTGAGACAAGGTCTTGGTAAGCTGCTCAGGCTGGCCTTAAGCTGCGGATCCTCCTGCCTCAGGCTCTAACTTAGCTGAGACCACAGGCACGTGCCACCTTGTCTGGCCTTCCTTTTTCTTAGCAGGACCAACGGTACCTGAGCCCCTGCCACTGTGACACTTGGCCCCTTTGTTCCCAGGTGAGGTCTTGAATTGTGGCTACTCTGTGCCTTGGCTCTGATCACTAGGACAGAGCATGATTTGTCCTGACCATGTCCTGGCCTCTGTCCTCAGCTGCAGGGGGAGGGGGATCCCTCCCAACACCGCCTGCCCAGGGCTCCCTCCCTCCATCCAAGCGGTATGTGCTGTTTCACTCCCTGAGTTGTAAAGTGCTATATTTTATGCTGTCTGCTTAGCATTTTCAATTGCCTCGGACTCTTAACCACTTTCAAGGGGGGTAAAAGTCACTCTGTAAATCTGAGGCGCTAGCACGGTGGTGGTGCTAGTGCTAGACTGCTATGACGGCCCCTGTGCTGGGGAGCAGAGAGCTCATTAATCGGAAACTTACACTGCAGGCCAGAGTCGCTGGAAGCAGGTGTCAGGGTGCCTTTAACGAGGTCCTCATGACTCCAATGGTATTTCCTTGGTGGGTATACGGTGCTCACAGCTGTGCCTCCCTGAGGAGGGGATGAGAAGGATGCCCTCCACAGACCCAGCCTCAGAAAGGCATGCTTCTCTGAGCTCCAGCCTTTCCTGTTTTCCCTCATGCTTCTGTTCCATGCATGGAGCACCTACTAGGCACCAGCCCTGCCTGCGTATGAGGTACGGGGAGTCCCTGCCAGTATAGGCTGACCTGCTCATTCAGGAGATTGGCCACAGTTGAGCAGAAGAGAGTAGACTGTGGCTATCTCAACGGAGGAGGGTGGAGCCGGGGAGGGAGGGACCGGTGGTGGAAGTGCTGGCGTGGGCTCTCTGGAGAGAAGACGGGGAGGAGCCGGCCAGGCAGTGTTCTGCAGGGAAAGCGTTCCCGGCACAGTGGACTGGGTGGGTCTGCAAGGTGCAGGGAGGCTGCTGGGCGTGGCGTGAATGAGGGGGAGAAGCTGGAGGGGAGGGCAGCGCCAGATACTCAGGGTATTGTGACCTGGGGACTCGGACAGGAAGCCCCGAGTTCAGCACTGCTCCACAGTGGTTTCTGTTGCTGGCTGGGTGAGGTGTGGACCCTGGCAAGGCCAGGGGATGGGATAAAGGAAGTGGGGGACAAGCTTGTAAGTGTGACGTGGGTACTGGGCACCAAGGGGAGGACTCTCCAATCTTCTGGGTTGGTCTGGCATCCAGCCATCTGTGTCACCTATACCACCTGAGGTCAGGAGTGGCCCAGGCGGGGCAGGTGCTCTTTGGGTCTTCAGGGGTGCAGTGAGGCCTTTGGGGGCTTCAGTGTGCTTCTCAGACTGTCTGGGAGCACCAGCCCCGTGGTGGGTGTAGAGTTTGATTCGGCGATCATGGTATCTCCCCCATCAGGTAAGTATTGTAGAGTTTGTTTTGGGTAAGTGAGCTAAAACATGTTGTCTAGTATTAAATAAACGTGGAGGAGAATAACAACGCATCCTGTTTTTTAGAGATATAATGAAGTGGTTTTATCGTTGAAGTTAGCACTGCTGAGGGGCTCTTTGGCGTCCACCCAACTCCCCAGGGTGCCTTGGGCAAAGCTGTGAGAAACAGGCCTTGGGATGTAAGGGAGAACAGAGGACAGGAAAGAAGGAAAAAGGCTGACAGGGAAGAGGGAAAAACCCAGAGAATGAAGGAGATGAAAGAGAGGGAAAGCGTAATTTACTGGCAGTTTCTTAAAGGTCTGTTGTTGCGCTCTTCTTCCAACCTAAGAGCAACAAACCCTCCGCGGCTCTCTTAAGAGTTCCCGTGCATGGAAGGTGTTTCTCTTCCTCCTTCACCTGCCCCCGCTTCTCCAGAACGTGAGCCATCCAAAAGACAGACAGGCGCTTGTATTTCTCTCCAAGCAGCTCCATCAGGCCGGCTCCCGTGGATGACTATTTACACACCAGCAGCATGAGCCCTCGCCTTACTGGGCAGGATGGACATGGGGCTGGGGGGGGGGGTAAGAAAAGCTGCAGAGACTGGCCAGCACCGGCCCAGCTAGCCTTTCCCTTCTGGACCTCCGTGATGGTGCGGCAGATGTCCCTCCTGGGGTGGCTCAGGGCCGTGCTCAGAAGCAGCTTGTCCCTTTGGAGTCTCCCATGGCAGATGGCAGTAGCGTCAAGCTGCGGATGGCAGGCAGGGTGGGGGCGTCCTTTGGGTTCAGCTGTTGTCTCTGGTGTCCGAGGAGGCACTTCCAAACAAGATGTCACTGTCCTGGGATATGCCGCTCAGCTGCGACTTGGTTTTGATCAGGAACTGGGCTCTGCGGAACATCACCCGCTCCTGCTCCTGCTTAAGCTCCAGGTAGGAGCGGGAGAAGGTGTGGAAGATGGAGGTGACGGGGAAGGCCATGAGCAGGATGCCGCTGAGGATGCTGCTCAGCGCCACCACCTGGCCGGGGGTGCTCCGGGGCACCATGTCTCCATAGCCCACAGTCGTCATGGTGATGACGGCCCACCAGTAGCAGGCAGGAATGCTGGTGAACTCGGGGCTGTCTGCCATCTCGTTCTCGATGACGTAGAGGAGTGGGGCGAAGAGGGCGATGGCCACGCACAAGAAGAGCAGCAGCAGGCCGAACTCGCGGGTGCACCGGCGAGCCGTGAGCCCCAGCGTCTGCAGCCCCAGCGAGTGGCGGGCCAGGCGCATCACATAGAGGATGCGCAGTGCCCGCAGCACGCGCAGCACCAGCCCCACCTTGTCCAGGTAGCTGTTGCCTGAGCCAGGCTTGCGGCGGCCTGAGGCTGCGCCGTCCACCAGCAGGGTGACGTAGTAGGGCAGGATGGCCACCAGGTCGATGAGCGTCAGCGGACTCCGCAGAAAGGCGAACTTGCTTGGTGCCTGGGTAAAGCGCAGGAGGAACTCCAGGGAAAACCAGCCCACGCACACCGACTCCACAATGAAGACATTGTAGCACATCTGGGAACACTGGCCCTGGGGGGAGAAAGCAGGCAGGGTTCCCACAGTGAGCCAGCAGGCTGCTCTGCCCTGGGCAGGGCCCTGGCACGAAAAAGGACCTAGGCTGGGTCCACCTGCCTCTCCTCATCACAGGGCATGGGATCCTCTGTCTAGGAATGTCCACTCCCAGACCCAGGGCATTGATCACCAGATCTAGAGTGGCTGCTCCTCGTTTTCCTCTCTAACTCAGACCTTAGCCTGGACCTCTACGGGGCCACCTGCTGCCTCTGGGCACCCCTTGCAGGTATCTGCCTGGGGATCCAATGGCACCTCCACTTGGCATGTCCACAACAGGGCTCCTGGCCTCTCCTGTCCCAGCCCGTGGTTACCCCTCCTTAGCTGTTGGCAGTCCCATCCTTCTAATTGCTCCACCTCACCTTTCCCACCTCTTTCTCATGCCTTGTGTACAATCTGCGGGAACATTCATCAGCACTTCATGGAAATCAATGTTAGAAGCCACTTTGGTCTCTGTCCACAGTGCCTGCTCTGGTCCAGCCACAATCCTGGACAGCTGCTGTCAGCACCTCTCTGGGTCCACTCACGCCCACAACCCATTTTCTGACACAGAGGGATCCCAAGACCATTAATAGGATCCCAGTCTTCCCTCTGCTGGGGACCTTCCACGGCCCAGGGAACAACTGACATCTTCTCGGCGCCACAGTGCACATGGTCTACACATCTGTCCATCCTTCCGTCTGCCCACCCATCCATCCATCCATCCATCCATCCTTCCTTCTCTTCTCCTCCCCCATCCTTGCTGACCCACTCCACCTCAGACTCTCTTGTCATTCCTCTGATGCCCCAGCTCACCCCGCAGCTCTGCCTGGGCATTCACCTTCTCTGAGGTCCCCCATCCCCCAAACATCCACCTCATGCCTCCCTTCTCCTCCAGCTCTGTACCTCTACCATCCCTGCTCAGGGGGACCAGTGACTCCTCTTTGTTAAGACTCCCTCCCCCTCTTGCACTCCAACCTCCTTACATTCTGGTGTTTGGTCACAGGGTTCATGGCATTTTCACAAGCCTTGTGAGTTACCTGTTTCTCATTGTCTATCTCCATCTTCCAGCTTCTCACCCAGTGCCCCAGTGACTCAAGGTCCCACAGGGGAGGGCAGGCCATAAGCCATGCTCACTGCCTGGACTTCAGTGACAGGCCTGACATATGCAGCTGTTTGCCACATGGCTGTACAAAAATGAATAGAAGAAGCTTAGACGTGTGTGTGTGTGTGTGTGTGTGTGTGTGTGTGTGTGTGTGTGTTACTCGAAACCAGGAGGGACCAGGCAGGCAAAGGAAGTAGAGAAATGAAGGGAGGGAGAGACCCCACAGGAGAACCCCTAACTCTGCCCTGGGAGGATTCAGGTAAAGGCTGCCTTGAAGCTTTTAAGAGAAGCTGGAAATCTGCAGTTTTACGTGAAATCCCTTGGTGATAACTGTTGGTTAAGTAGACAAAATGTTGATTCAAGAGCTGGTGATAAAATGCAACACAGAGTAAGCACAGCACAGGCCAGGCAGCAGCTTCACGCTGGACTTGGCATGCACACCGCTCACCTCTCCCTCAGCCTGGACAGTAGACAGTTCCGGGTGGATTTGGACCCCAGCCTTAAAACAGCCTTTGGCAGCGAGGAAAGGTACATGTGCCATACCTGCGGCCCCTCCTAGGCTCTCGGGCACAGCTGGGCTTCGTGATCTTCCTCTACCAGGTCTCTCAGGGAATGTCCTCGAAGCCAGAGATGTGCACGAATGCTTCATGCTTTGATGTCCCGGTCTTCCTGGACCGCACCCCCTGAGCAGCTCAAGATGAACGTGGCCAGCTCACAGAGAGCCTTCATACTTATGGTCCCGGGACGGGGTGTCACTACCCTACCCAGCCCTCACAGACCTGAAGCTGCCTGAGGTTGAAAGACTTGTCCTGCTCACCCTGCAGTGCATGCCAACAGAAGGCACTTCGCTGCAAGCAAGTGAAACGCTGAATCCCACTGGCCTGCAAATGAGGCTAAAAAGCAAGAGTTGATTGAATCCTACACAAGGCCAGGAATTAAGACGCAGTGTCAGGGATGGGGATGTAGCTGTGCAGCAGAGGACTTGCTAAGCGTGGGTATACCATGAGTCCCATCTCCAGCACCACAAGGACTCTTATCCATATGGTAGGCTGCCGGATGTCACAAGGGAGCAGCACCCCTCAGGCAGCAGTTACGAGTGAATCCCTACAGCCAGTACTCCCTGTACATACAGGGGCCAGGCACTGTTTTGGCCTCCTCACAAGCTTGGTCACGCAGCCTGGTGACACTGTTCACGGCTCTCCCTGACAGGTGGAGGTACAGAGGCACAGACGGGGCTAGAAACTTGTCCCCAGTTACAAAGCCAGAGTGGACGAGCTAGGATTCCACTTCAGATTGCCTGGCTCTTTCCCCAACCTCTAGGCTTATCAAAAGTTCATTTTGTTGGCTGAGTGCTATTGTCTTAATATCCTTCTAAAAAGTTCAAAGCCTAAAAATTGTGCCAGCAAATCCCTGTAGGCTATAAATGCCACAAGCGCTGCTGCCCCCTCTGCAATCTCTGCATGTGTAGTCTTTACACGGTGAGCACCTCCAACGCCAGGCCAGAGAGTGCACGTGAAACACGTGTGTGCAGGGCACACAGCAAGTGCCCAGCACACGCTGGCTGCCACAGTATTGGTCTTCAGCTCATACCTCCATACCTCGTTCTCAAAAGTCAGTATCATTTGTTCTATTCTGAGACTTCCTGGTTTTTGTAAAACTTGCTGATGGGGGCCACATCTCAAAGAACCAGGGTTCTAAGACAAGCCTGGTGGTGGTGGTGTACTTGACATGGACTCAACTCCCTCCTACGGTTATCAAACAGGATTGCAGGCCAGGGGATGGAGATTATACACGCTGGGAGTGAACCCAGGGCCTGGGCTTACTAAGTTAAGTACCACGTAGCTTATGTGTTGAGCCCTGACCTGAAATTTGTAGGGAACTTAGAGTGAGTATTTTAAAATGGAGACACGTTGGGCTGGCGAGATAGCTCAGCAGACTAAGTGCCTGCTTAGGCAAATGTAGGGAGCTGGGTTTGAACTCCAGCACCACAAGCCTGAGGTGGCAACTGAGACCAGGCGTGGTGGGTCATGCCTGTAATTCCAGCACTGGGAAGGCTGAAAACAAGGGGATCACTATGAGTCCAAGCTGTGTAGTGAGGCCCTGTACCACATACATAATAATAAATAAAATGGAGATGCCTGCCCCCCCCACCCCCTTGTGATGCTGGAACTGAACCCAGGATCTTTACCCTGAGCTACATCTTCAGTCTTTTTTTAAATTCTGAGACAACACAGAGGGAGCCTCTGTCTTAAAAAGAAAGTTGCTAAGTGTGTCCACACTGGCTGTGAATGTGTCCTCCTCCTGCCTCAGTTTCCCAGACACTGGGATTGTAGTCGAGCACCACCATCCCCAGCCGACCCCTTACTTCTACAGGGTGGTGGTCCAGGCAGAGTTCTGGGAAACGCTGCGTGGCCAACTGCAGACTTCTGCGGGGTCACCCTGGGTCCCCAGGCTGCCGTGGGATGCACATTTTCCATGATTCAGAACAGACTGTGGATTCCGCCAAGCTGGGCTTGGGGGCTGTGATGCCTCAGTGTGCTCCTCCGCCAAGTGGGTGTGAGAACACCTCCCCCTCAGGGTTACTGCGGGATTCGGGAGAAGATGCCATGTGGGTGGAGCGGCAGTCCTGTTTGGGCTCTAGTGATTGTACAGCCCTGTCAGGCCTGTGATAAGTACGGGCATTATCCTACTTAATGCAGACAAGCTCCCTGCCTGGGGACATGCACTTACACATGCACGGATCGGTGAAAGTCATTTCCAGACCCAGGATGTGCATGTGGGGTATTATGATGCAAGGCGCTTGGGGAGGCTGAGAAAAGGCTGGAGTGGGTGAGATATGGGGTGCCTCTTCCACCCTGCAGGTGATTCTGGAGAGTTGGGGACATAGTGGAGCCCAGGACAGCTACACAGGGTCAGGGTGCAGACAACATGCATGCAGTCACACTGACACAGCATGAGGCCAGGAGGGCCTGGGGCGCTATTTGACTGCCTGTAGGCAGGGAAGGCCTCCTGGAGGAGGTGGCAATGGTGGGCTGAGAAGTGAGAGGGAGATGCAGCAGACACCCCCTCACTACCGTAGGGCTCTTACCTGCTCCTCCTCCTCCCTCAGGCTGGGCAAGGTGCTGACCGAGAGGTTGACCGCGGTGACGGTGACGAAGAGCACCGACAGGCAGGCAAACACCTTGCCCGGCAGCCCCGAGTGTGGCCTCTCCACCATGTCGCGCAGTCTCCGCATGCAGCGGCCCAGGCGGCCCTCACCGGCAGTCGCGGTGGGGCCCTCGCTGTCGCGGGCCTCGCTGTCCAGCAGGTCTTCCTCATCCTCGCGCTCCACCATCTCGGCGAACTCCTCGATCTTCTGCAGGTAGCGGCGCTTGCAGCAGCCATCGAGGTGGTCCTCCGCGATGCCCCAGTAGAGCAGCTCCTCCTGGAACGACAGCGCGCACATCTCGCGCAGCAGCCGCAGCTTTCCTGCGCGCAGGAAGGTAAGGATAGTGCCGAAGGCCCCGGGGTTGCGGTCGAAGAAGAACTCGTTGCAGCTCACATCGTAGTCATCACACACGTTGAGGATGTCGTCGAAGTTGGTGCAGGCCTTGAGCTGGCCCAGCCGCGTCATGGGGAACTCGTCTAGCGTGGTCCAGGGCAGCGAGTACTTGATGCCGCCCACGTTGATGATGATCTGCCGCCGGCGGTCCCCAGGGCCAGGGGTGCCAGGGCGCGGAGTGTCCTGTGGGCGCAGCCTCTGTGCCCGGCGGTAGAACACGCCCTTGAGCGCCTGGCTTTGCGGGAAGAAGGCCGGGTGGAAGGAGGCATCCGAGGTGCAGCTCAGGGCGCTGTAGTCGTAATCCGAGTTGTCTCCAGGTAGCAGGGTCATTTTGGACCTTTACATCCCTCTCGGGCCTGTGGGGAGGAGAAAAGAGGAAAGACCCTCGGTGACCCTGTGTGGATCTGCAGGGCACTCACTGCCTTGACTGTAGCCCCAAGCCTTGGTGTGCTGACTAGGTGGTGCAGGCTTCGAGGCGGCCAAGGGGGGTGAGGACTGGAAAGTGGAGCCATGGGTGCATTGGGGGCTCATGTCCCAGAAGACGCAGGGATGCTGAGTTCCTTGTGGGCCTCCTGGGGACACAAACAGAGACCATGGCCCCAATGAGGGTCCTTTCCAACACCAGACCATTGATACCTGCTGTCCAGCTTCCAGCCTTCAGAACCACAAGAAGTAAATACCTGTGGTTTCAAGTACCTATGACACTTTGTGACTAAGGCACTGACATAATCGTCCAAATGGCAACGGTGTAGCTCAGCCTCACCTTTTGTTTTTACAACCCCGGTGCTAACTCATTTATGCCAGGGGAGGGCTGGGCATCACTATACACAGGCAGCGCCTTAGGCACGGAGCCATAGCAAGTGTGACCCCAGGAACTGACATCTGGTGGGCCATTCGGCCATACACACACTGTGGCTTACTGAACACTGTATTTTTCTATCTATCTATCATCTATCTATCTATCTATCTCTGCATTTAGGGCAGGGTCTACGGGGTGTTCAGGACTTGTAGTCCTATGTGGATCAGACTCATAGTGATTCTCCTGTTTACATCCTCCCAAGTGCTGGGTTTACAGGCATGCGCCACCACGCCTAGTCTCAATCCCTATCTCAGCGCACCTTGGGGGTGGGGCAGGCACGGCACACCGCTGGTCGAACCCTTAGCCACTTCGCTCTGCCTAAGCAGGTGCTTTAGTCCACTGAGCTATCAGGCCAGAGCTGTATTTTTTTTATTCATTCATTCATTCATTCATTCATTCATTCATTCATTCATTGGGTCTCGCTATGCAGCTCAGACTCATAGTGATCCTGCTGTCTCAGCCTCCTCAGCGCTGGAACTGCAGGCATGTGCCACCATGTCTGGTACTGGCAATGGACGCAGGGTCCCTGCGCTTGCCAAGCAGGTGCTTAGACCACAGAGCTATCTCCCCAGCCCCTGAATACTATATTTTAAATGAACCCAATTTGTATTTATTTAGCTCAGAAAGGTAGTTTAGTATAGACCACTGGTTCTTCACTGGGGCTGTTTGTCCCCTGGACACGCAGCAATACCTGGAGGCATTTTTTATTTTCATGGTTTGAGAATACCACTGCCATCTGGTAGGGAGAGGCCAGGGATCTGCTAGGTGTCCTAGAGTAAGTGACAGCCCTCTACACCAGAATGATCTGGTTCAAAACATCTGTGGTGCCGAGGTGGCCAAGCCCTGGTACAGGAGCGATACACGTCAGTTTTGGAGCCACACAGCCTGCATGAGTTGCTTAAATGTGATTTAGTTCTACCTCAATGTAAAACGGTAACAGCTATGTGACCCACTTCATAGGCTTATGGAGAGCACTAAGCGAGTCCTGTCCACATGAGCCCTTCATGAAGTGCGCAGTGCTGGGCACCTGGAGGGTACTCAGGAATGGTGTTTACTATTTGTTGCTGTTAGGACTCATCTTAAAAGGACACCTTGCATTGTTGCCATTAATGGGAAATAGCTGTCACTCGCCATGACAACAGGCAGTAGACAAAGAGACACACAGTTACCAGAACAATGCCTTGTTTGCTCAGGCAGCAGGAGATGTCACCTTGAGGCTCACAGGGTGAAGGGACAGTCATGCTTGCCCCCCAGGGGAATGCTCCTTCAGCTCTTCCCAAGAACCCTTACACTGGCGCATGAATCTTTAGGCACTTGAACCCACTCAGGATGATCTGTGTGCAGGCCCAGCTCTTTCATTAGCGTTCCTGCTTCCTGGGGAGTACAGGACCTTACTGGCCGCTGAATCCGGTGCTCAGGGATGTAAGAGCCCCGTGCAGTGCCTGCTGAGTGAGTGCACCCCCTGTCTGTGAGGCCCACAGCGTGAGTGTACTTCTGGGAAACTCAGGTCCAGATCCCGGTTACACAGATGCTTTTCTTCTTGTCCTTAAGGATAAGGGTTGGCACTACCAGCATGTGGTGGCAGATTCATTACCAGCTTATGGGCCGAGTTTGGTTAATGAGTATCTTGCTTAGCTTGAAGAAGTTTCTGAAAATTGAGAAATTTCATGTAAAAATCTGTATTCTTGGCTTCTTTGAAAAATCAGAATATGTGGCAACACCAGGTCCCAATTCCAACTGAGAAATGGCTGTCCCCTATGGGCAGGGCCTACAAGCTCCAATCCACCACAGTCCCCTCTCCTCCCCACTGGCTTTCTAACACCCACTCTACTTTACTCGTCTATCTTCCTTCCTGGCGCCACAGGCACTTGAGTTTAAGATCTCAAGATTATCCGACAGAGCTCCCCAGAATTAAGCTGATGCAGAGAAAACTAGTTAAGGCTAACAAATACTTTGCTTTTTGAAATTACCAACCTCCCTGCAGCCCACCTCCTAGTTAGGGCAAATGGCAGCATCTATGTTCACTGATTTCCAAGTGGCAACCCACTTCTACTCCTGAGTGAACCTGTCCTGGGAATACAGACAGACAGACAGACAGACAGACAGACAGACACACACACACACACACACACACACACACACGCCTGCAAAGAAACTTTGCAGGAGCCTGGGGTGGGGGACAGTCCCCGCTTGAAGGGGGCTCTTTCCTATTTCCTAACCCAGATTGTCACACTTCACACACTCATTTTTGGGCTAGCTAGTTCACACGTCAGGATTTGGAAAAGTGGGGTACACCTGTGTTTGAAGTAAAATGACTGGGTTTGAGAGCACTGAGAGCGCTTTTCACTTTACCTAAAATTGGAACCCATCTCCTGAGGCAGAGCTGCCAGCATGCCTGGAGGCGTGGGAATAATCCCTCTTAGGCACCTCGCTGAGCGATACCGCTTTTCAGTTCACTGCTGTTGCGTTGCCACCAAAGACAAGAGAAAGAAAAATGGCATTCTGTTTGGCAGGAGAAAGAAGTAAAGGAACATCCTTCTTCCCCCAAGTCCCAGAGGGTGCCTGCTGTGAAGCCCCAGCCTGCAGTCACCTCTTCTCTCCAGGAATCTCTTCCTTCCACTTCCCTGTGGCCCTCCTGCAGATGGCCAGCAGCTCCTTACCCATCTCCCTCAACCTGTCCCCACTGCGCTTCCTGTGCAGCAATCATCCTGTCCCAGTGGCCACCTGGACTCGAGGGGCTGCTGTCTTCTGCCTGGAAGGGATGGCAGCAGGCACACAGGGACCATTTCCTCCAAGCCCGAGGGAAAGCTCAAATTTGCTACATGCAGAATGGGCCCATTTCTCCCTGGCCTCGAGTCCTGCCCATGCCCAGTCTAAGCGTGTGGGTGGCCAGCTTGGCCTCTCTAGACAAGAGTCAAGTTCACTGTCAAGCAGGCCTGAAAGCCCTGGGGGGAGTGACACTGCTTCCCACCCAGAAGTTAGGATTTCTTTTCCAGTTCCATAGCATGCTGGGCTGTGGATGATTGGGTGCTTGGGTGGGGGATGCTACTTGGGAAAGAGGCTGTTGTGGTGCAGGTGAGGGGAAGTCCTGTAGGAGCTGTCATTCATCCATCCATCCATCCATCCATCCATTCATCTATTCATCCATCCCTCCCTTCCTCCCTCCCTCCCTCCCTCCCTTCCTCCTTCAACACTACCAACTCCTGGAGGCTGTGTTGAGAGCCTGTGCTTGTGGAGTTGACTTTCTGGAGGGAGACAGTCCCCAAATAAATACACCGATGGCTGTTGGTTATAGTGAGCGCTGTGCTGGAACAGTGCAAGGTGACAGATGGAGAGTGACATGGGGTGGAGGCACTATTAGCTGCAGGCGTCAGGCTGAGCTGCTGGGAGGAGGGGACCTGGGGCTGAGCCTCGTGGATGGCAAGGAGCTCACCCTGTACATGCTGGCGGGCGGTGTTGCCGAGCAGAAGGAGCAGCAAGAGCTTGTTCCCTGACTCGAGAAGGGTTTGCATGGTGAGGACCAGTGAGAAGGCGGAGAGGCTGGGCCAAGTGAGGCATGGTACAGGCGGAGAGGTGGGAGGAGATGCACTGGGCCGGCAGCTGGTTCCCCAGTAAGGAGCAGGGCTTTCATCTGTGGGGCGGTGCTGTGTCAGGGCTGACTGTGGAGCTGGTAGGCCATGGTGCAGGAGGCAGTGACCAAGTGTGTGTGTGTGGGGACAGAGTACCAGAGGGGTTCGGGATGGACTTTAGAGGAAACGACGTCAGCACTTGCAGAGGGACAGGGCTTACAGTGAGAGGAGAAAAGAATGGGGTGGTGCCAGCTCGCCATTTGCCAAGGGAGAGGCTAGGAAAGGCATGGCAAGGATTTGATGGCACCTCAGAAAGGGGCATGGCTTTGCCAACCCTGGCTTTAGCTCAGGCAGACCTTTGGCCTCCAGAACTGTGAGATTAGTTACGGTTGTCTTAAGTCACTCAGTTTGGGGCAGCAGGAAATAAATAGAGGGCATGGCTGAGATAAAGCTGGCTTTCTTCCCCAGGGGACACACCTGGTGACCACCCCACACTGGAGAGACAGAAGAACCCACTGGCTTTGAGATTGTGAGACATGGGTTCAAAGCCAGTTGCTTTGACTTTGGGAAAATTGTAGAGTTGGTTGAGACTCAGTTTTCTTATCTGTAAAATGGGGATAAAATAGCTCCTACCTTGTTGAGTTACAGGGAGAATAAAAACAGATGACAGAGTGATGCTTAACATATATTGAACCCTTGTTGAACACCAGCTGTACTGCTCGTAGCTGAGGAGCATCTGTCCCCACCCTCACCTGCCAGCCGTGGGTGTTTCTGCCTCTGCAGAATGAAGCCAGCATCACCTGTGCCCAGGGCTGGAGGGGTGTTGTGCCATGGGAAAGCTATCAGTGCGCTGAAGAAAATTATGTTGTTGTCCTAGGTCCCAGGAACCCCACTCCTGGGTCTATTTCTCAGACCTGGGGCTACAGGG